GGTTTGAATTCTGAAAGACATTGAGATTGCTGCTTGGGTTTGGGTGGTGTGTGTACTGGCAGGCTTTGCGTCCACTTGAGCAGCAGACAGTGGAGGCTGGACCGGAGCTTCATATTGTTGCCGCATGAAAATCATGCAAGTGGCCTTTTGCATCAAGTTGGTCAATTGTGATTATGATTAAATTTGTGATGGCTGTTGCATTGACTTCAGCAATGCCATGGTGGCAGGTGCCGGTCTTGATGGCTTCAATGCGTGGTGGCAGGGTGAATGACCAGCTGTGCATGCCTTAGTAACCAATCTTCAGTTTGTATTGCATGGTGGATTCTTTAATTTTTGGTGCATGACTTTGGTTCTTTATTTATGGGCCATATTTGGCTAAGGTTCAAAATGCAAACCACTCATGATGTTGATGGCACTGTTTTCCAAACACGCCTGCAACTTAGTGGCTTGACTTTCTGCTGAATTATGAATCAACAATGACATAATAATTCTGTAACACAATGTGGGTTCAATTGATGGCATGTTCATGGTCTTGCTGTCCTGTTATCTTAAGTTGTCTCTTTAATCTAAATTGAAATTGGCTTGGAGGTCAGGGTGGCAGGCTTGTGGGCACTACGCCGCTAGACGATATTGTGTCTGAGCCTCAGACTGAGTCAAATAAGCAAGACTTCATCAAACTTCAAGGGTCTTTTTTTTTGACTGCGTTGCCCAGGGTGACTTCAAAGGGCATCTTCCTGAGTCCCATGGATCCACATGTGACAGCGCCCCCCTGGATTGGAGATCACCTGGGCTGAAGCAAATCAGCTGGGCCAGGGGATTGACCTTGTGGTGTTCCATAGGCCATGATTTCTCTCCTTTTGAGTCAGTAAGTATGGCATAGTATGAGGGGTGGTGAGAGGTTTCCAAAAACTGTTGAAACAGCGCCTTGAACTTCAATAACCATGCACAACTCAGACAGACCATTGATGAAAAGGAGGGATGGGATCGGAGGCATTCTTTTTTGAAGATTGGATGCTGGCCTGGCAATTGATGGGAATCATACATTTTGGGGAAATCATCATAACAAAGATCAAATAAAAAGGATTCAAATGAACGATCCATTGATACATATTTATATATAGTTATAGATACACATGACTGTAATGACAGGGCCAGCACTGATCGTGTGGCACGTCGGGGCATGGTGAGACCCGAGATTGCTGTGCTGAGATAAAAAGTGGTGGCCATGTTGCTGACTTGACTACAAGCGGATGTGGTCTGGTGACAACAGTGTGATCTGCTTTCCATGGTGGTGGTCCA